CGGATTCCATCCTTTCCAGGAAATGTTGAGACCAAGAACATCCAATTTAGTTGGCTAACTATTACCGACCTCGTTTAGCTTGAATTTTAAAAAGCGATGCTTATGAAAAGGATCTTCACTTCTTTGAAAGACTTATTCAAAATTGCGAAGAAAATTGTCATATTTTTAGACAATGAAACTTGCGTTTCATATTTTCGTTAGGAGGCCAGCTTGATTGTTTAGGTAAAATTATGATCAAGTCATTTCCAGCGCGAATCAGCGGCTTCTGCGGTGAGACCAATTAAGCTGTGATCCTGAGGATAATGAGTCTTTTGTTAAGGCACTACAAATCGACTACAGGTAAATAGAACTCCTGGAACATAGAGCTGCATAAAACAGATAATTCACTAATTTTTAAAGGCTGACTGCTGAGGGAAACTTTTGAAGTCATCGTTTATCTAATTAGCTTATAACACTCCTATTTTCATCCACGATGCCCTGAGATTTCCGATTACTGTCTAATACATAGTTACTATTCTATGTGAAAATCAATTCATTCCAATTTCTGCAATTTCTCCATTCTATAGACTTATAATCGAGCCTGGGCAATGCTTCTGACATAAACTGCTCGTGCAGTTGCACTCGCACCCATCTTTTTAGTGTCGTGTTCCCCTTTGCCCACAACTCTTTTTTTAGCGAGTGCCTACTTAATAATAAGTGCCAAATTCTTTGCGTGCAATAACTCTATGCAGTAGCAGTGAAGAAGATTTTATGTGAAAGGTGCTGCTATGAATTTGTGCCACGTATTACGTTTTATATCCTTTGATCGCTGACTTACCCTGTTTTGGATGATCGCTCGAAGCCTCCTTCTGAAGTAGACGGATGACATGCAAAAGAGTACAAAGTTCATGACCTGCAAGGAGAGAGCTAGTCCCGGTTAGAATAGTCAAACAATGGCAAACCTTTCCAGTTAACAACCATCCGTGCACGATGGGACCGAGTTCGGGCATCAACCTGCGGATAGTATCCCTCTGCGGAGGTGTCATAATGGGAGAAACTAGTTCCAGAATGAATGGAACCGTCGATGGGGTCTAAAGACGTTTTCTTCTGTAATTTAAGAGTATGCGAGAAGTGTTGCGTGAGAAAACATACATGTGTTAGGAAAAAGCAAGCAATGATAGCTAATACTGTTATGGTCACTTTTCGATCACGCTTCTGACGAGAGTCTGTATCTCTGAAAACGGAACTTTCCACAGAACAATCCGTAAATGAGGTTGAGGTAAATGCGAGCTCACCGCAGAAATTCATCATTTGGGTCATCAGTGCTGTTTTTAGCAGATCTGGTCACTAGAACACTACTCCTTCTTAGCACAATAATGATTCTCAAGTTGAGCACAACAATTCCGATGAGTGGCAGTATGACCACGAGCATTATTTGTAGCATTTTGAGTATCGTAACTACTCGCACTTGAAGGCTGGAGATGAAGGGAACAAGCTGGAAAAATCATCCTCCATGGTGAAAGGAAATAAATTACTTGGGATCTTACCCGTTCAATAGGTACAAGTTTTGCATAGGTGAGAGTTCCATTGCACATAGTAGCGTAGCCGTACTTATATTCGAAATGGTGGAATGCAGTGAGCGAAAGGCTTCCTATTATCACCACTAACATTAAATAACAAACTCGTGAATGCCTCCATTCGCAGCGATTATGGATTGGTGAAGAGATACCCATGTACCTAAAGATTTCCATAGAAGTATTAGGAATTGAAAGGTTTTAGACTCAAACACCTATATAAGCACTCAATTCTGAATGATGTTAAAGAGAGAGTTACATTCACTGTAGTTTATCAATTCATTCCCTATAGTACAACCTATATGGCATCTTATAAGCATCTGAGATAAGCAAAACAAGACGTGAAAGCGTTTTCTTCTAGAATTGAATGTGGGTCTCGGACACCAACCTTAGATTTGCTTTTATTATTTCTTTTGTGCGCAAAAATCATTTTTGAAGAAAATCTTACCTTAACCTGGTTTCAAAAAAGTCCCGCTACTATCAATAATTTAAAAATAGTTTTTCTTATGTCGTCTTTAAAATTCCTTTTGCGAGTTTGTGTATTCATTGGTAGCGTGATGCCATCGCTATCGTGACACAATTTTGCATAATATAGTTGCCGATCGATTTCATAAGTAATTTGAGAAACTGTTATGACATTTCAGTGCTTAACGAAATTGTGCAGCAAATTCAATTAGTAAGCGAATTTTGCGGAAGAGTAGAAGATAGCCCTCCTACTGAGCATGCTAAATTTCCTACAAAAACAACACTATCATAATAGCTACTCCACTCCGTCGTTGTTTTTCATAGAAAAAAAA